CACACACACACACACACACACACACACACACACACAGTGTCACACACTGACACACACACAAGAGGAGGAGGAGTGCAAGAGAGGGAAGCACACAAACAAAATAGAATCTGAAAGCACTTCAAAGCAGCTTTTCAGGGCGTCAGTTAAAGACCAGCGACAACGTCGGCGAGCATGGTGGTCCGGAAAGTGAAAGACAACAAGTCCTCTCTCTCTCTCTCTCTCTCTCTCTCTCTCTCTCTCTCTCTCTCTCTCTCTCTCTTTCTCTCTCTCTCTCTCAATATTTCTTCGTCTGTGTCTCTCTCTGCAGCAGCCTTCGTCCTCCTCCTCTTCGACATGTGCAGCGGTGCACTCTCCTTGGAATCGTCATCCGACTCTTCTGTTGTCGGTGCCGCAATGGGTTGTTTGTCCTTGCGTGGCCGACCTCTCCCACATCCTGAAGCGGACCTCCCTGGCCCTGTTCCTCATCCAGCCCGTGCAGTGCCTCCTCTCGCACGTGCCGAAGCGGACCTCCCTCTGCCTCGCTGAGCACGATAGGCGAGGGGATCCCATACACGACCGGGATGTGCTCCTTGCTGCCCGACCTGAGGCGACTGCCGAGTAGAACCATAAAACGCTCGCACCTCACTCAGATGCTGCACGTCGTCCCCGCGCTCCTCCACCTGTTGCTCCCCCACCTGCTGCTCCTCCACCTGCTGCTCCTCCACCAGATGCTCCTCCACCTGCTGCTCCTTCTCGTGCTCCAACAACTGCTGCTCCTCCCCCTGCTGCATGCCCCCCGTGTGCTCCTCCACCTGCTGGTCCTCCTTCCCCTCCTCCTCCACCTGCTCCTCCTCCCCCTGCACCTCCTTCCCCTGCTGCTCCTCCACCTGCTGCTCCTCCACTTGTTGCTCCCTCCCTTGCTGCTTGTCCGACTGCTGATCCTCCACCTGCTGCTCCTCCCCACGTGGCTGAGTCGGGGATCGCAGTCCATATCCTGTGCCTCGAACATACGGGGCGTCCTCTCTCCTCGTCCAAGACCTGTCGGAGTCCGACCTCTCGACCACCCACTCCTCGCCGGGAATGTCATCCTCCACCTCCTCCTCATCATCATCCTCGACGTCAGCCTCCTCGTTGTCCTCCTCCTCCTCGACCTCCTCCGCATGCCTTAATCTCTGCATGGACCTCGATGTTGATGGCCCAACTGGATCGTGGCGAACAGTAGTGCTGCCCACCGCAGAACTGGCGTCCCCAACAGCAAGCTCGTAGTCATCAACGGCCTCGATGACATTCGCCAAATCACCCCCCAGGTCCTCGTCCGCCCATTCAATTGCGAGCCCCAACCACCCTCCTGCTATCGTGGGCCCCTCATCCCCCCTGCTCTTGAGCCTCAAGCTCGAGTGTGAGGACACCAATTTGTTGGTGCGCTGGTGGTGCAACTTGTTCCTGCACTTCGTCTGCACCAGAGCCCAAGTGCTCCATTTCCTCTCAGCAGGAGAGGAAGTCATCCAGATCGACAACACCCTGATCGCCAGCTCGCGGATCTCCGGATGCCCCGCCCCGTGCGCCTCCCACCACAAAACCGCATTGTCCTTCGTAGCCCGTTTCTTCGCCTGTGGGGTGCCGAGGACTCCTTTCCCGAACTGGAAGTCGTAAAGTTGGTCCATCCACTCGTTGAATCTGGAGCTTCCCTTCTTTCCAATGAGCCTCTCCACCACACTCTCAAATTGTGTTATGAGGTTGACATCACTAAATAGAGTAATGTCCCTCAACTGAGGATCCAACAGGCGAGCAACATCGTGGATGGGGCTAAGCAGCATGTCTGTCATGTTCCTGACGTCCCTGAGCATGTCGTCTCGCTGCTCTGCGATAAGGGGGGCTGATTGGACGAAGTCGGGCAGTCGACGAGCCATATCGTAAATGCGCGACAAGCAGTGGACATCTTTGTCCACCTTGCGCAACACGTCATAGGGCCCCTTCATGACGACAGTCAGCTTCCTGGCGTTAGCCCAGAAGGCCCTGTCAAGAACTGTTTCCTCCACGAAGAAGGCGTTGGCCCTGATGTCCCATCGCCACACCTGCGCCTCCCACTCCTGCCCTGCGACAATCCGTCTAATGGCCTTCTCGCAGACCTCCAGCGGCTGCAGCATCACGTAGTGCGTCCCAAACCTCGTCTGCGCCGGTCGGAGGAGGCAGCTGCATTTCAAGTCCGGGAGCTTCAGAAGTGTCGTTCTCAACGTTGATCTGGGCCACCTGTGAACCCGGAAGAAGTTGACCACTATGTTCGCCTTACTGATGATCTCGGCCGCCCACTCCTTGCAAATGTCGTGCATGAGAAGGTCCATGCAGTGAGCGGTGCAAGGGATCCAATATATCTGGTTGAACTCAGGGTCCTCCCTCAACATCCTCGCAGCACTCGTGTTGCCGGCAAAAGAGACCGTGCAGACAACCGTGATCTTCTCCAACCCCCACTCCCTAAAGAACCGCTTCCATCCGGCAACGACGGCTGTGGAGTCCTTGTCCCCTCGCTAACATCCTCACACTTGATGAAAATAGGCTTCGACCGGCCTGTGAGGATGTAGTTCATAAGCGATCGACCGCAGATGTCTGTGGTCTCATCGGTTATGAACGTGCAGCCTGTGACCTGCCATACGTCACGGATCGCCTGCTCCTCCTCCTGCAACCTCTTGTTAAGGCGATCCAGCAACCGACACCTGAGAGGGTTGTACCCAGTAGGCACAAGAGGGTGGCTCGCTGCAGGTTGTGGTCCGTAACACGCCCACGTGAACTTCTTGAAGCTCCTGCTCTTGGCGGCGTTGAACGGGGTCGCGTTCTCCACAAAGAACTGGCAGCAGGAGTCATCAATCTCCTCCTGCTTTGGGTTCTTCGTGTACCTCTTGATGCTCGTCTACCTCCCTGGCCTGCGTGTGCGGACGACCTGCATGACAGCTTGCGAGTACCCAGGCCTCCCTCCACCGTCGGATTCTCCTGTCACAACACCCCTCGTCCCCTCATCCAATCCCTCCTCGCCCTCTCCACCACGTGGCTCCTCAGGCTGATCAGCAATCCCACCTCAGGCCCAACACCTGCCACGTTGGGAACGCCGTAGTCGTCGTCATCCCTCTCCTGCTTCAGCGCCATCTGCATTCTCGCGAGCAAATCCGGTGGCAGATGCGCACCGATGCGATGCAGCCTCTTCCAAATGGAGAGGTTCGAACCCGAACACCTGGATGATGCCCTCGCCAGAATGAAGTGTTCCCACGCACGCTTCCGGTTCCCTTTGTACTCCTTGTTGCAGATCTTGCACCGCAGCCTTCTCGACTCGCAAGAATTGCCCGGCAGCATCTGCCCAGGAGTCACCCAACTCCACACCACGTGGTCCCTTGGGCAGGTCATGTCCTCCTCGAACGGCTCCTGCTGCTGCTCGTCCGCCATGTCACCCGGCAGCAGACGCGGTGGG